ACTTTGCACGCTCAGGCCCCAAGCCTGGCCGTCAAGCCGTCAGCATTGGCCAGGCAACATAACTCCAGCCTCACTCTCCGTACATCCCTGAAGGTGCGTTAGCGCTTGGAAGTTTCTAGTAGATACAAATAAAAGGCTGTAGCTCGTTTGCAAGTAGGCATGCTACAGATGTACTATTGCAACTTCTAGCAGCTACAATAAAAGTCAGACATTCCAAGCTGATTTAAGTACAACTCTTTTCTACCCAGCGCCACAACAACAATCCCGGACCTCAAAGCTAGCTCCAAAATACTAAGCGTCAACCTTTGAACCTCTAACCCTAACCCCCAAACAAAACTCCCAAGCACTAGCACCATGACCCTACCACCCTTCCAGGGACTTTAGGAGGGACCAATAGTAGGGACCCTTAATCCCATTACNNATTAACCCCCATAAGCTATAAGGGTCCCTATTAGGGGTCCCTCCTAAAGTCCCTAGAACCCTGCAAGCCTAACACCTAAATCCTCGCAAGTTTGCGTCCCACCTCATCCTCAGCGATCCGGCCCACCGTGTCATCATAAAAGAAAGTGGAGAAGTTGCCAAACCTTGACTCCATCTCTAGCTGCGGTTCTGGCTACCTGGCTTTTTAGGGATAGGATTAGGATGTACACTGATAGTGGAGAGTTAAATCGAAAAGACAATGGAGAGTGAAATGGAAACTCGTCTGACATAGGCGTTTCTAGGGATTCTCGTGTACGAAACACTAGCGTTCTCCTCTCAATACTCATAAGACTGGAGACTACAGGATCTGCTTTGCTGAGAACTTGGGCTCTTCTAGATCTCTGGTGCTACACACCTAAGATATAGGGTTTAGGATTTAGGGCTCTGGGGTCAATATATTATAGCCCTCATTGCACGGATCCCCAAAACAGAGCCGCTAACTTTCCGAAATCCCATGTTCTGGGCTCTACAGGATGTTGGGGCTCGAGCCAGCGCAGCGCAGGGCTCAGTTGCTGGGGCACGGTTAAGTTTGAGGCTCATGGGTTGAGAGTTTGGGCTGAGGGAGAAGTTAGGGTTTAGGGTTTATAGGGTTGAGGGCTTAGAGAGCCCAGGCTGAGGGAGAAGATCAACGGTTCAGAATTTCAAGCCCAGGGGCTTACCGACATCCCCCTAGACTCCAAAACCTATTATAAAAAATATTGTTTGACAATTCCTTCTGGTTATGCTACAATAAAATTTAGGAAAATCTTGTTCCTAAGGCAAGTAGGAGCTTAGGGGCCTAGGATTCTTTTGGGCTTGGGGTTTCTCCTGCCGCCTGGTTGGGGATGAAGGAACAGATCCTCATACTAGACCCTGTACGGTCCACCAAGTATCCACGTGCATCATCCACAAAACGGACCCCCGGATCCCCACGTCGTGAATAGCTCCTTTCAAGGCTTTGAGCTTTCATTTCAGATGGCATTCCTGCACGCATTTGGGGGATTCTGAGTTCAGTTCAACCTGCGCATGCACGGGGCCTCCAGCAAAAGACATGTTGTGGTCCATGCTTCACGATTCTTGGCATGATGCGGGGGGTTCTCAAAATTAGGGGTCCCCTTCAAAGTAAGGCTATAGGGGTTATATAGGGAATATATAGGGCTACCATAAGGATCTCAGTATTTGGGGTCTATAGGTCTATGTTGGGGTCCATTTATGGAAGCCTAACATGTCCAGAGAGAACCAAAACCTCCGACATCTAGTTTGCCAGTAGGTGAAATGCCTGCGGAAGCCTTGACCCTGAGCTGTTCTTAGGCTACCTCGCATGTAGAGAAGAGCTTTTCTGAGCGCATTGAGTCACGTAACGCTCGTCACAAAAACCCTTGCAGCCAGGTGACTGTCGTCGGAAGCCACCGCGCAGGGCCTTGATACAAAGTGCTTCATGTTGGCTTTCTTCGCACGCCGGCACTGGGGGCTTATTGGAGCTGCGCATTGCTATCAGCCTGAGACCAAAGAAAGCGAACCCAAGTTTACTGCACGAGCCTACTGAAGTCACATGTGGAGAGGGAGAGAGAGAACATACACGAACAAATTGGCGGTGCCTAGTCCATCCCCTTTCTTGCATGGCATCTGCACTGTCCAGACAATGAACGCATCCCAGCGTCATTGTCACCAGCACTTTAAATTAAGCCAGATTCAAGATAAGCAAGCATGGGCATGCTAAGAGACCTCCAGAACCTTCCCTTCCCCGTCTGACCTTCTCCCGCTTACTGTTGTGTGCTACTTCTCCACCAGCACCACCACTACCACAATCATGCCCAGTCCTGTTATTACTATGCGTGAGATTACTTGAAGATGTGTGAAATCAAATGGGTTGCTGTTAAGGAACTTAAATTAAGTTACCATAATGGGTATATATAGTAAATAACAGGGTTTCCCCAATATAGTAAATTAACTTAAGCTCCTTAAATCCCTATATTNNTCCATTTTCTTTTCCATTGATTCTCCATTATAGGGGGATAATATCCCTAAACCCTAAACCCTATAGAGCTCGGCCCGGCCTGGCCCAGATCTTTCGGCGTCGTGGAACGTTTGCGTCCCAGAGCTGGCGCACTGCGCCCGCGTAGAACGCTGCCTGCGGCTGCGGCAGAAAATGCCAAATGCCGTGCTCTTATCTATATACAGACGTCTTCATATATATATATATAGGCATATATCGGGTTGTCTGATGAGTTCTACGGCATTTTATGGGGACTATATAAGGACTATTTACCGGAAAGAACATGAACATGACATGGAAACTGGGTTTCTATGATGTGGACTCTGTTTGGGGTCATAATATTAACTGCTCGTTAAGCAGCACAGAAAGCATCTTTATCTTCCCTTTCCGGTCTGCAGCGTTCTTCAGATTTACCACACATCACACTGTGCCATGGGATCCAAGCAGTTGCCCCTTCACAGCACGAGGCTACATAGTACACAAGCAGTGGTCTACTACAGTATTGATAGGTTTGCAATGATTCCTGTGTCACAAAGCTTCGGCAAAACTCCGCGGGCCCCCATTTCTCCGGATCATGTGAGCTATGGTCTAAACTCCTTAAAAACGTTATACAGGGGATTATATGGGGGACTGCTATATTGGTTATTAAGGGGGAGTCTAGACAATGGCTCGTGTAGTGCCAGGTTGCTTGGCTGTCTCGAGGAGGTTGAAATCCTGAGAGACTCTTCAGAAGTTTCCAAAGGAGTCACCCCCAAACAGTAGGCACGAAACATTAAAGGATTCGTTAGCCTGTCTCTCCCCTGTCCAGATGAGGAAGTCTTGTGTCCCCCTTAACCCCATAATGAAACATCCTCATCTGCTTCGCACTCCATACTGCAAAGTGTCATTGGCACTGAATGCGCAGCAGCAGTAATCAGCAGTGGGGGGACAGGTGGGTGTTTCCCAAAATCAGAGATACCATCTTGGGGGTCCTTATGATAAGGATTAGAGTATTTTGGGGTCTATATTGGGTTCCTCCAATTTAGTAAAACTACCAGTCGGCTCGATGAGTAGTGCCAAGGTGGCAGGAGCTTCCTTCTTGCTATGAGGAGTCTGCTATGCAATGCATTTGTACATGCCTAGACTAATTGAGGTGGTGGTGCGCAGATGTCAACCCTGAACCCTGAACCGCTTGAAGATTGCTGCTTGCTCAACTGCCAGCTGATACGCAGGCTCATCTGTGAACAATGCCAGCAAGCAATTCCTTTCCTTCAAAGGAATGCCCCTTGCTAGCATACTGCGGGGGCTTGAGCACTTTTGCTGTTCTGGCGGTGCCAAACACGATAAGCGAAGAGGCAACGTGCATTGCCAAATGCAGGGGGCGTGGCGTTTCCAACTTTCAGGTGCTTACCCTACGTTCTGGTGATTTTACTCATGCCATAATTTATCTGCTCATCAACGGGATGCAGGTGACTTGAGTTGACCACGAAGACGACCCTTTTGCACACGGATCCCCCATCAAAATGCTAAAATCCTCTTGCAAGCACCACTGTATAATGTAACCTGCTACCTTGGTCACAAACGCTAAGCCCTAAACCCTAGGCCCAAACCATTTTGCACCTCAACCATTTTCCAAGGCGTTCTACTACTTGCTGAAAGAGGAGCTCCCTTGAGGAGATGTGGCGTGGCGAGGCCCCCTGTCAGCCGTTGCACAGCTCAAGGGGCCAAGGCGTTGATGTGGCTTCGGGCTGTGGATTTGGTAGGAGTAGGCTTAATGGGCTGGATGCGGGGTCTTTATCATTGCTCAGCTGGGTTGGCCCCTAAAACCCTTTGAAAAATGTTAGTATATAGGGTCCCTTATTAAAGCCGTTAGGGAAAAGATTAAATGCCCCAAGGGCCTACCCAGGGAAACAGAGTTGCTTAGGGGTCTTCAAGGGCTCTGTGGGGATGATGATAGGATATGATAGGAACGTTTGGATTGTAAGTGCAGATCTTCGGAAAACCTTGACAGAGAAGTTTCCCTTCACGCACGTCATAGTTCTGTAAATACATGTGAGCAAAAGGTTTGGATGTAGGGCGTAATTCAGGATCTTTGAAATGAGCCGAGTAATTAAGTAAACGACATCCACTCCTGGGCGATGCCAAGGTACTTCGTGGAGGTTTCCATGGAGCAAGACCTGGGAGAAAGCAAGGCTTATGGGAGAAGGGCTGTAGGACTCACAGGAGCTACCCTAAACCCCTAAACCCTCAAGATACAGCCCCTTGGCCATTACCCAGAGTGGCCAACATCATAGCCCTTAATCAAGGAATAGCTACTAGGGTCCCTTATATGAACCATTGTCTAAACTCCGAGTATCCACCTTAATAATGACCCCTATAATAGTCCCCTATAAATCCCCTATATAACCCCCTTTAAGGAGTTTAGACTGTAGCTTAATACGAAGTAGGGCATATTCTTTCACGACGGGGCACTTTGCTCCCTGGGTACCCGCAGCGTTAGACCTTCAGCTTCAACTCTTAAACTTTTACTCCCTATCCGCAAGCAGAGCATAGCATTAGGGTTTAGGGTTTAGGGTAGAATCCGCACACAACCCCCCTTTGTTCCAAAATCCACCGACCCCGTACATGGCCATTTCATTCTGCACGCTCTTTACCAGTTGGTTCTCTACATATTGGGGTATACACCCTATATAACCTCTGCATATCCGTAAGCTCAACACATTTCCTTTTGGTTTGACCCCTAGCCGTGTCTGCCCCAGCCACCATACTTCTACATACCAACTCTTGGGCCTACTTGGAGGCTGGGAATGGAAGGCAAAATGGAAGCCATGCTATCGTTTAGGGTTTAGGGTTTAAGGCTTAAGGGGACTCAGTAGCTAGGCTAGCAAAGGGGAGAAGGGGCCTTTTACGTTTCTTGTAGGCCTTATAACCTCCCCTTTGAGTAGATAAAATGGGATATATGGATGCCTTATTATGATTGGGCAATTCCATATTCTATCTACTAAAGGGGAACGGGAGAAGCATAGTTACTAAGTTCCCAAGTATATTCTAAATCCCATGTCCTTCACCCGAGCCTTCAATTTCTAGACCCTAAGCTCTAAACCCTAAACCTTCAACTCCCAACCCCTAACCCCTCAACCCCTAAACCCTAAACCCCTAAACTCTAAACCCTAAACCTTCAACTCCCAACCCTGAACTCTCTCCACCCTCATCTCTACACCACCCTACCCCCCAAGCCCTAGATACACGAAACCTTCAAAGGAACTCCCGAGCCCTAAGCCCTAAACCCTGGACCCTAAACCCAGAACCCAAATCCTAAACCCTAAACCCCTATACCCTGAACCCTGAGCACTAAACCATAAATCCTGAACCCTGAGCCCTAAACCCTAAACCCTGAACCCTGAACCCTAAACCCTAAATCCTAGACCCTAAACCCAATAAACCCTAAACCCCTAGACCCTAAACCCCTCAACCACAAACGCGCCTCGGGGCTACGCGGCGAGGCTTTGGCCTCCAAGGCATCCAGGCGCTCACGGCGCAGGGCCTTTAGGAGATGCCTCGGGCTTCACGGTACAGGGGTTTAGGGTTTTAGGGTTATAGTGTTATAGGGTTTAGGGTATGGGGGGTTGATAGGTTTCTGAGGTATCTCACTGTTTAGAGTTTAGGGTGTATAGGGCTTAGGGTGTCTAGAGGTTTGAGGTTCAGGGTTGAGGGCGTATAGGGTTTGAGGAGTTCAGGGCTTAGGGCTGCGGAAGGTTTGAAGTTAAAGGTTTAAGGTGTATAGGGTTTAAGGCTTAGGGCCGGGCTTCGAGGATTGGTGAGAAAATGAGCTTCAAAGTTATATGACTGTTCGTCCAAATAACATCCTCATACTTAGCATTCCGGGTATATCGGCTTTACATTGCTAATATCATTGTTGATCCAAATAATATCATCGCAAACACTCTTTATTCTCGCTCCTAATGTTGGTCCTAAACCCTAAGCCCTAAACCCTATGGGCACTATATTGTTACTACTCCGACTGCTGCCCTGGCAATTTTCATCAATTTCTGTTATCGGGGCCATTTCCACCTGCCACATATCTAGTTTTTTGCCTCTTGCATGCGCGAAGGAAATACAAGGTTTTGGGGATGGGGCTTTAGGTCTTTGGGATTGAGTTTCCTGGTTTTCTGCAGTGTGAGGATTGCTCACTTGAAGTATATGGAGCTACAGAGTCATTGAATGATGGGGCTCCTGTAGAGGATTCTATGGAAACGTCTGATTAAATCTGATTAAATCTGACTAACTCCCAAGCTTGGGGGACAGCATCTAGCACTTAGGATGCAGGATCTAGGGTTTAGCTGGATCTGAAGGTTACATGGGTCCCAAACCCAAATGGGGCTTCGGCGGTTCATGGATTTTGTGTCTGGGTTTGGAGGCTGGAATTCGTGGGCCGCAGGAGGGCAAGATTTGGGGCTTGGGGGCCTTCGGGAAAATTGGAACCTTATCAAAGTTATGCTACTTTTCTTTGGCTTGGCTGCGCAACTTTAGATATACTGTAGGGTTTGTTAAAAAGTGGCTCGCTTTTTGAAGTTCACATAAACCACGAAGAATTAGACTCGAGGGTGAAAAGTGGAGCGGGGAGCCATCACGTTGAGCTTGGATAGGTTTTTGGACACATGGGGCGGGGCTGCTGCTTTCCATACCAATCTTGTGTTGAATGCTTGGGTTTTCTTAAAGATGAAGGATGTTGGCTGTTGGTGTCTTGCAGTTCAGGATCGGCTGAGCCGTCTAAGATCTAGGGGCTCCTCCTCCCAGTCCTCGTAGAGCAGTACCAGTAGCAGTAGTAGTATTCGCTAGTAGTAGTAGCAGCGGTAGCAGTTGCAGTGGCGGCCACGGTGGTGGTGGGAGGAGGAGGAGGAGGACCGGCAGCAGTGGTAGGTGGCGGCCCTGGTGGTGTTGCTGGTGCTACTGCGGCTGCAGACGCTTGAATATTTACGTCTCCAGGCCATGCCAAGTCACTTTTGCAGATCGCCCATGACATCTTGCTGGCAAAGCTCCACTTCCTTGGCTGCAGGCTGCGCAGGGCTTGGGGCCAAGGGCTTTCAGGCTTCGTGAAAATACCAAAGTTCAAGAAGTCCTGTTATGAGGAGCTTTCGCGATGAGGGGACCCTGGTCTGCGGTGTAGGAGGGCTCACAAAGGAAAACCCAACTGTGAGACCCCTTGAAGGGATTGGGGGTGCGGGAGTTCTGGCGAAAACATGCGAATAGGGTACCCTTCCTGAGCCGATGGGTCGGACCTGAAAAGACCGATCACCATACTTGGCTGATGGTTTGACTGTTTGACTTAGTATGTCTGATGTAGACCGCTGATTAGTAAACCCCCTCCCCTTACGAGGGATTACCTATCATAGGGATCCTAACATTAAGGCCCTTGAAAGGAGGCGGTTTACTAATGACGGGTCTGCATTACCTGAAACTATCCCCAATACCCCTTTTTATACGACCCGTAAACCCTATTACTAAGAAGGCTAAGTCAAGAGATGCTCCAAGTAAGTATCTGTAATGGCCTGTGCACTTTACTGAGGACAATGAGCCTTAGAAACCCCGCACCCCAGGACCCGAACAGAAACATAGCTGGGATATGGGCTTTCCCCAACATCAGGCGTACCTTTAAGGGGGAGTTATAGGGGTTATATAGGGTTATACATTACATGGATTTATGGGGTGTCGGGCCTAGAGGGTTTCCTAGGAGGAGTGTTAACCGTTTAGGGGTCCCTAAAAGGAGTGCCACATTTTGGATCTATGTTGGGGTTCCCTTGCTTATGGAAATTTACTATGCATAAGCACATGCACACATACACACACATATATATATATGTATCTAAATATATATATATGTATATTTATATTTGCATATAGGAATACGTATAGCTATCTATATATATATATAAGAGCAGGAGAGCTGATACTGCTTTTGGGCACCTATGGGTTTGAACTTTGCTGGAGACACCCACCCAGATCCTTTCTTGCCCGGAATATCCGCTACCGTTTGCTGAATGCTTGCAGCCACTGATAATCATGATGTCCGCATGATAGTGATGTTGGGCCTGTGACCCTCTACGGATCACACGCCCATGGAAGCATTGGACTTTTTTCCGCTCCGTGCATCAAGAAGTGCGGACCCACATGCAAAGGATACCAAGACTTTGGACGGTCTCGCATCTAACTGTAATGGAAAGCTGGTTTTTCGGCAGGACGCGAAGCGGGCTGCGATAGTCAGCATGAGGCAGAAAAGCGGAAAGACCTGGGTACAATCTTTGCATGGAAATTTCTAAGTTGTGTATTTTGACGGGTCCTTTTATTGTTGCACTTTGGAGAAAAGTGGGTATAGCTCAGGAAACATTGTCTGAATGATAGGGTCCATCCAGCGAGGTGCCAGAAGAGGACCAAGCCCCAGACCCCAAACCCTCCATCAGTGCAAGTTTGGGACACCCCTGTTCCAAGTTGAGAAGAGAGCCAGTTTCCAGCATTGCTTGAATGTCTGATGCAAGGCCCAAGTCCTGAAACATCCTGACACGCTTTTTTTTGTAGTCCCGCGGCCTTACAAGGCCCGAGGGCTTGGAGTCTGTGAATCTTTTTTAAGGTCGGGATACGGCAAGTAATATTAAAAAAACATGGCCCATCTCAGCTGTGAGACCTTCACTCAGCAACGCTGAGCTTGGTTGAAACACTCTCTTTCTCTCGATCAGGTTGGTGCCTAGTCGCTTGGGTCTGAACTTCTACGAACGGATATGGGTGCTCCCGAATCATGTCGCTAGTGCTCAAGATGAAGTTCCACTGGCGTGTGAAGGCTACCGAAACACTAGCATCTTTACGCAGTAGACCCCAGAAGGGACCGGCAACCTTACGAAAAATCCCTTTCGCCCGCCCGCCCACAGCGCATGCCAGGGCCCCAGCAAGAGCCAAAGCTGCAAGAATTGCGTAGATGACGAGGAACACCTCCGAGCATGACCATCCAGAGAGGGCTGCAAGATCATGGGAAAACCTTTTGTGAGGCCCTTTCTTGCTTACCTCTGTTGAGCAGGGAAGAACGGAATGGAAAAGAACATCCAGTTTTGAGAAACCCGTTATGACGCAGCTATAACCATATCAGGCGACTTAAGGGTCTCAGAACTGGTCTATAAATACTCTACAATTTGGTTTTTCTTGCAACAACTCTGAACCTCCTACATAGTGGAGAAACCAGCGAGCCTGGACGGCACATTCCGGAACCTACACTACCATTAAAACCACCCAATAAATATCCTTCCTTATAAGGTTAATATAGGGGCTACTATTTTTGAGGGTTCTTAAGCAAATCATAGTACAGGCTTTGTGGGTTGTAGCTGGAACAAGCCCTACAAATCCAGCTATCCACATAGTAGGTTAGAGACACGGGCCTACGTGGACCGCCGAAGAAAACCCAAAGGGTCCATGTAGCTACATTGTAATCAATCGGGCCTTCAAGTAGGTATATGGGAACCTTCTCAGGCCCTAAACCCTAATCCCTGAAACCCTACACCCTCAACCCTAAACCCCACCCCCCAATTCCTACGGCCCTACACCCTAACCCTATAATCCCTATATACCCTAATGCCCTACTTCCTAATCCATAACTCCTAAACCCTAACAGAAAGCTTCGTTACACACCATCCTTGGGCGCAGTCTAAACCCCAAACCCTCCTGGAGACCCAATACCCTTTGATTGAGGAAATGGGATTACAGGGTAGTTCATAGGGGAAATATTAGGGTTATATTGGGGTTATATAGGGATAATGGAAAAGAAAATGGAAAATACAAAAAACATGCCCTTTGATTGAGGAATATACCTTAGGTGGACCTCCCCACACTGGTAAGGGGGGTAATAGGGTTTAGGGATTTGGGGTTTAAGGTTTAGGTGGACCCTCCCACCCAGTAAGAGTAACTATAAGGGATAATGCTGATTGTATTAAGGTCCTCTTACATTCCTACTTTACCACTATTACAGGGTGAGGGCCCACCTAAATGTGCCTACCCTACATGCCCCTTTATATGACTTGATTTCCTCCGTGAAAGGATGTTGGGCTCTGCAGGCTTAGCATACTTATGGATCTTCCATCAGTCTGCAGGGTGTTCTTGGAGTTTGCGCAACGGCCGCTTGCAGATAGACGTCCATCTCGAACTCGAACCCGTGGCCATAAAACGGCCGGACCTTCAAACCTAAACCCAAAGCACTAAACCTAAAACACTAAGCCCCGAACCCTTCTTAAAACTCCAGGTGCCATGGTCAAGGCCCTGAATCCGCAAGAACGACTTTGCCTTCTGCGTGTCGTCGTAATCGTAATCCGTCCTAGGCTGAAATACATGATGAGTGTCCATGAACCCGACTAGTGGAGCTCTAGGTCCTAAACGCCATAATCTAAATGGTTTCTGGTACCTGAAACCCTATGTTTTGGGGCACTTGGACCCTGTGAAGGGAACGAGGGGTAGTTTCCATCAATGGGGGGGAGGGGGCGCCCAGTGCATACCCCAGAATGCTATCAGAAATCCTACACCTGTAAAATCCTAAATATGACCCTATATAACACCCTTGAAAAGTAATAAGGGTTGTAACATATTGGGGTCTATAATCGGGTTCCCCGTGTCTCTGCATATTAATATACTCTTCAGAAGCCACATAGTGGCCTACTTATTACGTCTCCCTGACCCTCGGAGTAGGGATTCAAGGTTACCTGCTTGACAATCAAACTGTTGACACGCATGCTACATGCAGCATCCCTGAACATTCTGAGCCTAAACATGTGGCAGAATGAAGCGCATGAAAGATCGTGAACCCCCTAGGCCAGCGAGGATTGCTCAAGCAAATGTCGTGGGTACAAGGATGAACACAGGCCCATCAGTGGCGACAGTAAGGGCTCCAAGTTTGCGTCGCATGAGGCACCCCTAGCCGCATCAATGATGTCGGAAGCAGATCGGAAGCATACGAACATGAAGCATGTCAAGTCTGCGGCTGCGGCTCAAGTAAGCGCCTTGATATCATCTAGAACAATCTTGTGGGACTAACGACGAACCATACTGCCCAGACCGGTTGTCAATGAAAAGCAACAATAGGTGCGTACTTATTCTCCATATGTGCTGGAAAGATTGCCAGGCAATCCCTTCTAAAACAGCAACCCAGCCTTCAAAAACCCAGATGCCCAATGATTCTCGCCTTGGGGATGCGCGCTGGGGGCTGGGAGCAAACATCAGGACAAGAAGAAAATGAGAGTGATTCCGGGGAAACCTGCGGAAGCAAAGTGTCACTAGAAAAGAAGCTTTATGTTAATCAAGCTTCCTGAAAAAACAGGGTGAAACAGAACCATTATCAAACCCTAAACCCCATATCCCTAAACCCTGAGTCCTGAAACCCTTAGTCCCTATGCCCGAAACCCCTAGAAGCCCAGGCACTCCGCGGGCGGGAACGTTCCTTCCACCACAAAGCCGAAACCAATCGACAGCATCAGCGTGGCTACAACCTTGGGGCTTCTTTTCCAAAGGGCCCATGTAGGGTTGAGGGTCTAGGAGTCTAGGGTTTCAGGGTTTTAGGGCTCAGGGGTGTAGTGTTTAGGGGTTGTCGGTTTAGGGGGGTTCTAGAAGTAGCTTAGGGATCCAAGTATAGAAATAAGACCAGCATTGCGCCCTGAAGTCTGTAAACATTACAACGCTAAACCCTAAACCGTATTACCTACATTGGACTATTTGGCATCCCTAGGGTGACGGACTGTTCTAGTATAACCCTAAGACTTCAAGCACCTAGGAATCATATGAGCTATAGTCTAAACTCCTTATTGGGGGCTATATAGGGGATTATTATAGGGCTTATTAAGGGGGATGCTAGGAGTTTAGACCATAGCTCATATACCTTTCCAAAACCTGTACTAGAATTGCTACTACCCGAAACCCAAGTACCTAATTATTGGGTACTCCGACCCTCTGGGTAATCTAATCTTAAGTATCTGCAAGGTTTTTCATCGACCAG